ATTATAAATAACTAAGCAACCATAGACAAGTAAATTTCAGACAATTTCAGACAATTTCAGACATTTCTGAAATTCGCTTGTCTATGATTGCTTAGCTACTTATAATAAATAAGGATATTAATAAGATAATATAATGAGTGATTTGACATTGCAATCGCACTATTTAAATATATGTATTAATATATTGTATATAATTTCAACGCAGATATACAGGAATAATAAAGAATGTAAGTATACTATATGTGTGCGTTTATATAATATAATTAATATAATACAATTTACTTGTACAAATATGAATAACAATATATATATATATATATATATATATATATATATATATATATATATATATATATATATATACGTATATATAAACAAATAATTATTAATTTTATATACATATACATATATACTTAATATGTATACACACAATGAGTTATATATTTAGATATTCCAGTACACATACACTCTCAACATTTGTTTTTTACATTTTTGTGTTTTATTTTATTGATTATAATTAATGTAGACAATTTATTGTATTAGCTATATATAACCTATTTTACAAGTATTACACATGAGAGATGTCATTGATACTAATGATAGCAATGATATGGAAGAATTATTTTCAACCACTGAAAAACCAGCTGGAAAAGCTCCTTTTATACTAGATAGAAAATTCTTCACTATTGAAAAAAATACAAGTATGAACGATAAAAAATGTAATATTACTGCAAAATGTAATTTACTGCAGTAAATCAATTAAAGGACGTTTTCATTCAACTTCAAATTTTTTATTGCATCTGAAGACTGTATATCATAATTCCATTGAAGAATATTATGAATATAAAAATTCATTGTATGAACCTCGTCGTGAAGAAACGCCGAATTACAAAAAAACATAATTATCATGGAACAGTTCAATCAAGTCAACAAGTTGCAAATGATTTGATAACGGATTTCATCGTGGGAACTGGCAAATCACTGAAAACAGTAGAAGAATCCGAGTTTATCAGATTAATATCAGGTCTTAGTAATTTAAAAACACCTGTACATTTTTTAAATAGAAAAACGCTATCTAAACGTAAATTAAATTTGAAAATGTAACGACAAATATTCGTGAAGAACTTTCAGAAATAAATTATGTTTGTACAACAGCGGATATCTGCATTTAGGCAGAGTTTTCTAGGTGTAACGGTTCATTGGATAAATCCTTATAATTTTAAACCCGAATCTAGAGTTATAGCTTGTAGGTTTGAAGGTAGTCATAATTACACTTCGATTGCTAAAAATTTAAATAAAATACATGAAAAATATGGTCTAAATATAGAAAAAATAACATATACGGTAACAGACAACAATAGCAATTTTAGAAAAGCTTTTTGAGAATTTAATAATCATATTAATATGAGAAAATAATAATGATGAAGAAGTTGAAAATTATAATGACGATGAGATTAATGTTCAATTTTGTAATATTAATGAAGTTCTTCCCTTAAGTGAGAATGATATGTTAGCAGATGAAAATTATTTTATTTTGCCAAAACAGTATCAATGTTGCTCTCATACACTTAGTTTAATATGTATGTTCTGATATAAGCAAATTAATTAAATTAAAACCGCCTTATGGAAAATATCATCTTTCTATTATGAAGAAGTGCTCCAATTTATGGAATAAGACAAATCGATCTTCAAATAAGGCAAGCGAACAGTATAAAAAAATTGTATGTAAGGCTCCTTGTACATGTATTGTATAACAAGGTGGAATTCTTTTCACAACAGCATTACAGAATTATTGAAAAGAATTAAAGAATTATTAATGAAAATTTCTGAAGCACTTGAATTATCATATTTTACTGTTCAAGATATTGGATTCTTAGAAAAACATAAAATATGTACAGATCCCATAACATATTGTTTAAATGTTTTGCAAAGCGAGAAAGAAATATTTTTTGGCGATATTTTACCTTGGACCTTTAGAGTAAAACAATTTAGAAAATATTAAAAGATTAGATGAAAACGATAATGGACCATTGCGAGCCGTTAAAAGAGCATTTTCTAAAACGTTTACGTGACCATTTTCATAACACAATGAAATTAAATGATGATGAAAAAGATTTTACTATTGCTACAGTATGTCACCCAAAATGGAAGCTTCGTTACTTGATAATATAAAGGTACTTGATAATATAAAGGATAGTAAGTTGCAGTTTATTAAAGATGGAACCAATTCTATGATTGAAACAGTTATAAATAATGGAATCTCACTTGCTTCGACAAATATTAATAAATTGTATAGTAATGAAAAAGAGCAACAATTTTTTAGTTTTATGAAAAATTTATCTATTTTTCTATTTCAAAGCACATATTTAGCCAAGATGGAATTGCTTCAATATTTAAAAGATGATGACGTTTCGCTTCGAAGTTTTCATAAATACTCAAAAATTAAAATATCATTTCTTAAATATAATATTGCAATACTATCTTCTACTCTCGTAGAACGTCTGTTTAGTTTCGCTAGATTAATACTATCACCTCGGCAAAACTCATTAAAAAATGATATATTTGAAAAGTGTGTATTATTGAAAGGAAATAAACGAATTGTACAAAATTAATTATATTGTCATAAATTTATTACTAGAATAGAAGAGAAATTATTGTTTAACGTATTGAAATATATACAATATTAATAAATAAATAAATATGTATCTTATATTAAATGTGTTTTTAAAAGTGTTTAAAGGTGTTCCTTACAGATTTTTATATGTTAAAATGATACCGTAAACCAAAAAATTCTAACATGTCAGGTTTTCAAGACAACTGAGATTTAATGTCCAAAAAAAGCTTTTCTGACGAGATTTGATATTTTTTTGTAAAGAAAGTTAATGTTAACGTTATCTTGTAATTCCAATTAGGAGTCACAAATGTACTGTGCATCCCCTTAAAATGTCTTTTTTTAATTTCGATGTTTATTTTTAAGAGAAGTAATAGAGAAATTTTATTGCAACAGAGAAGTTTTATTGCAATCAAAATTAAATATGTTATTAAGACTTTCAATTCTTATAAGGATTTTTTAGTGTCAGCTATTGTTAATAAGATGATTAATGTTAAATACAAACGGGGTCTATTACGGAAAAGATGTAATCTTAATCATTAATGATTCAATTATTTAAAAAATAAATAGCTTTTAATTGTGTTTATTTAAATTTAAGAGTTTCTATTGCGTTGGAGATATGAATACGATATTAAAATTTACAAATTCAGAATTACGGATGTCTGATCGGATCAATGATGAATGTCGAAATTGATGAATTTGAAAAATGTCCGGATGTTTGGGAAATATATTAATGTCTTTCACAGTTTTGAATTTGTTAATATTTTGATAATATTTCGATATTTTAATATTAAGACTTTTATTTCGAAGTAACCTCAGAAATCTGCTACTAACGGGTGTTTTACTAATGTAAAATGTGCGGGTTACCCTGTATATTTTTGAAATATGTGCTCCTTCTTATTTTATTTTTACTATTCCCTATTTCATTCTGTTTAGAAATAAATAAGGAATAGAAAATAAAAGTGTTTTGTTTAATTATGGAATAACGAAATGTGACAAATAAATATTTTATTTAAAGTAAACATCTATGTAAACGACAAGCTGATGTTTATTAAAAATGTTACTATCGCGTATTATGTTTTCGGATGCGATGTTGGAGAATCGCGTATAGTTTTAGACATTGATCGTATCGACGAGTCGGTTCAATCGTTCGAACGTTACAATGATACATCCGTCAAACGCAAACATACGTCGTAGCGTCGTTTCGATCATTGTAATGCGTACGGACCAAGAATCGAGGCGTACGATCGTATCATAGTTCAACTTGCAAACTCTGACGGTTAGCGATCCAACGCTTATAAAATTGTCCTTGTATTCATTTCGAAACATCTTGTAAATATTCCATGCTGCTTATAGAGACCCTTCCACGTTTCAAGAGACAGCGACAGTTCATGTCCACGATAACCTCTCAGGGCGATCTCCACATAACTCGGACCAATTCCAAATTCCAAAAATTTGTAGCCCGTATTCGTCAGATCGTAACGTCTCTCAGTAATGCACCTCGCGATGCTCCATGCTGTGTACGTAATGTTAAAACGTTTTTTTTGTGTATAGAACGTTGAAACTTACGTGTTACTGCAGTCCTTCTTTGTTTCGTACGATGCGTTGCTGTCTTTAGCGAAGGACATTTTTCAATCGTTCGTACAAGCGGGTATTGCAAAATTAATTGCATCCGCGTAAATTGCGCCGTATGTGATAAAACTTCTAGAATCGAAGAAGGAATAACCTTTCCTTCTTTCCAAGAATTGCGGACGTGTCGCGACAGGTTTTATTACGTTTTTCTACGTATTGTCTTTGTTCGCGAGTTTATCAATGTTATAGTTTATGGTTTATATTTCGATGGCATCGATGACGTTGATGATGAGCAACTTTGATGATTTTTCCCCAGGACATTCCCAATATCTCGTTTTTTCCTTCGATGGCGGTGGACTTGGCGGACTTGGCGACAAGGAGCGGTACCCTTTTCGCTCGATTGACTTTTGGCGTATACATTCTTTTATTCGATGTCTTAACGCTCGTAATTGAAGCTTACGATTGAATGAAAAAAGTCTTATACACTACCTACTACATGGGCTGAAAAGTCCCGGGATTTTTCAATAGGTGGTGCCACTAGAAAATGAACATGATTCATTTCGAGAGATTCATTTGTCACTAGTTTATGTATGAAGTTTCATGACATTTCGTTCATTCGTTTACAAGCTACAGTCGTTTAAGTGGCCTTACTTTCGCCTTCGTAAAAAAAATGGAAAAACAGGAATATCGCATCTTGATCAAACATTGTTTTTTGATGGGAAAAACTTCTGAACAATCATTGAAATGGTTGCAGAAATGTTATCCCACATCTGCTCCTTCGAGAACAACAGTTTATCGGTGGTTTAGTGAATTTAAAATGGGTCGTACAAGCACTGAAGACGCACCTCGCTCTGGAAGGCCAAAAGAGGCTACGAATGCGGAAATCGCAAAGCAAGTGCATCGAATCGTTTTGAGTGATCGTAAAGTGAAGTTGCGCGAGTTAACTAAAGCTGTAGGCATCTCAAAAGAATGGGCGGGATACATTTTGCACGATGTTTTGGAGATGAAAAAGTTATCGGCACGATGGGTGCCGCGTTTGCTGACCATCGACCAAAAACAGCAGCGCATTGATAATTCAACGGTCGGTTTGGCGTTGTTGCAGCGTAATCGAGCGGACTTTTTTCGACGTTTTGTGACAATGGATGAAACATGGGTCCATTACCATACGCCTGAGTCCAATAGGCAGTCTGCAGAGTGACTGAAAAGCCACGAAAGCCGACCAAAGCGACCAAAAGACCAACACTCGGCCGGGAAGATTATGGCCTCCATTTTTTGGGATGCGCATGGCATAATCTTCATCGATTACCTGCAGAAGGGAAGAACAATTACGGGAGAGAATTATGCAGCGTTATTGGACAACTGA